GGAGATCCCAGCCCAGTATGGGTGTCAGCATTCCTAAGCAGGTGTCCTGGGCTGGATCGGAAAGCTGAGTGTGAGCTGGGAGTCAGGGAGCAAGCCCGCTAGCAGCACCCCCTAGGGTTTCTGCTTCCAGCTCCTACTTGAGTTGCTGCCCTGACTTCCTCTGTCGATAGAAACAGAAATAGTGTTTCCTCCTCTAAGATGCTTTCGGTGAGAGTCTATTATTACAGTGGGAACTGCAACTATAGCTCTCCATGTTCCTGAGGGTTTTACCTTTAATGGATAGCTGAAAGGAATATAATAATTAATCATACTAAATTATGTTTTAGGATGATAACCCCCCTCCAAAAAAAACCAATCCCACCTACACATTTAAAATTGTACTGACAATATAATGTTCTTAACTTTTAAGTTTACAGTATAAGTCTAGGCTACCCCATAAAAAGTCCTGACAGAATTCTTTAGACTGTGTAGATGCATATACATATAATCATTATTTCTATTCAGAAAGACAATTATTCCCATTAAATGAGTGCAAAACAAAACCTGTATAAGCTAGACCACCTGGGCCTGGAGAGATGGCTCAGTGATTAAGAGCACTGGATGCCCTTCCAGAGGACCCAGGTTTGATTCCCAGCACCCACATGGTGGCTCACAACTGCCTGTAACACCAACTCCAGGGGATCCAGTACCCTGTTCTGGACTCCGCTGACACCAGACACCCATGCAGGCAAAACACTCAAATACGTAAAAACAACTTTTTAAATAGACCACCTATATACATCTTAGCTTGAATGACAAAACATTCCTATGCTCTCTGTTCTAATGTGCACAGGGCACTGAAAGTTACTATGTAACAAATGAGACAATAATGAATAACATGTGCAGACACTGCCGCCAGAATAATATCTGAGACGTACACTGCATTCAGCTCACCGCTAGGTTACACCACAAGGGACCACCCTCTGCTTGCGGTGTGCAGGAAGAAAAGCAGACCTTCGCAGCCCATGCTATGTTAGCAATCCTTCACAGTAGAGTCGCTTACTGCTTCCAGAAAAGCAAGGGCAACCGTGGAAGACAGGCTTGAACAATTTCAGTCTTGCTAGAAGCCCACAAGTGGGACAAACTGTGCGCACATACAGACATGTACACACCTGGGAGAAGAAAACAGCATTGTTCCGACGCTTGTGTATTATATAGTTGGTCACTGTTGGTACTTAGAAAGCTGAAGCTTCGATACTCCCAGCCCTGGACATAGAGTTCGTGATAAGCACTAAGTCCAGGCGAACTATCAAGAGGCTATGTGCCATACCCGTTTCTTAGTTCCCTTTCCCGGTTCTGTGATAAAATATCCTAACAAAAGCAACCAAAGGGAGGTGTTTATTTATTTCTCTCAGAGTTCTGGTTCCAGTGCATCCAAGGAACTAACGCGGCAGAAGCCTGAGAGTCACGTTATGCTCGCTTTGTTGTGCACCCCCGTGTCCCCACCCTGTGTATCAAGAAGCCACTTTCAAGTCGTTGCCTTAAAAACAGCACCCATGGGAGTGTCCCTCCTCTGAAATGCTAGGGTTCTGCATGCTTCAGAACTCAGGATCCTCAAATGTGGAATATGTGCTTATAGGTAATGAGATACTGTGAAGATGAGCCCCAAATCTAAATATGACTTTCATTCATATTTCATAAAAATTATTTCATCATATTATATATTACTTATGATCAATTAATTATTAATTAAATAATTGAATAATTGTTAATATTATTAAATATTACTATATAAATTATTATAAGGTTTTACATAAGCCCAAAACACGGGGCCAGAAGATAATTTTATATATTTCAATGTGTTTTAACTGTGACTTGTCACATGAGATCTGATGTTGAATTTCCAACATCACATTGGCACCCAGAAAGTTTCAGGCTTTGGATTTGAAGGACAAGAATCCTCAGTGGGCTCAGTGGGTAAAGCGTTTGCTATGTATACCTGAGATCTGAGTTCAAATCCCCAGCACCCACAGCAACATGTGTATGGACTCCTAACAGTCTTGGAGTGAGATGGGAGGCAGAGAGGAGGGAATCCCTGGAAGGTCACTGCCAGCCAGCCTGCCATACCCAGCAGTGAGCAAAAAAAAAAAAAAAAAAAAAAAAAAAAAAAAAAAAAAAGGGAGAAGAGAGAGAGATCCTGTCTCAAACAAAGTGAAAGGGGGAGGAACCAACATTCAGGGTGATCCTCTGACTGCTGGTGTGTGCTTTAGTTGGTATGTGTTTTAGCACACACGTGTACTCACACATACACACACACACACCTTGTTCGAAATCTTTATTGCTTAGTTTTACTAACCATAATACTCCCTGAAGCACCCCCATCTCTCAGAATGGCCACCAGCTGCCCCAGCACCTTCTGCCACAGCCTGGACATGATGCGGTGCACACACACGCTCTTCTGCTTCTGTGAGTTGACTTAGTGCCTTCCGGGTTGTGCTTATTCTGTACCGCACTTACCGAGGTTGTGTATCTCAGTGCGCTTGCCATCAATTCAATGCTTGCTAGATCGCTGAGATAATCTAAAGAATGCTATGGCTAAGAAAACCAGGTATCACCGTGTGGAGCAGAAACGGGAGTCGCTGGCTGTGATCACCGAGAAGGGACAGAAGAAGGTTCAGCGTAGTTCTTTCTGAAGCTCCTGTAGGTCACTGGTTTAGCTCACTATGTGGGTTCAGTTCATTAAAAGGCTCCACAATGTCCTCGCTCCACAGTGTGGTTTTCTGATGTGTGTAGACTGGGAGCCGTTCAAGGGAGCTTGATAAATGTTCTCAAATGCTTCCCTTCATTCATGCCCACTGCCATTTGCTTTCTATAGCATTTCTGGTGAGCATTCTTTCCTGACATGTACCAAATGTCAACCGTAGCCCGTGTTTAAAACCTTGTTGGCCTAAGGCCAGTGGGCTTACCAATTTATATTAGCCTGTTAAGAAAAATTAAATAAAACATGAAAATGGAATGAAAATTGCTTTGAAGAGAAATGGAGGCAGACGCTGAAATGAGCCATTAGTAGCCTGATATTCATTCTCTGGTTGAGTTCAGAGCTGTGTCATTCTGTACCGTTGCCAGGCTCCGAAAGGAAATCCAAAGAGAAAAATTAAAAATAATTCCTTGAGATAGCAGCTGTTTACCAGTTTCTCTTCTGGATCAGCCTCTGAGAGCACAGAGGAGGCAACTGGACCACTCTGTCAGTGACTCTGCTCAAGCTGGGCTTCTCCAACTTCCAGCAGCAGGATTCAGAGTTGCCCGTACCTCACTCCTACCTGGCTCGCTCCCTTCCTCTGGGCAGTAGAGCCTCCTCAAGGCACAGATTTGTGCGGAGTTCCCACTGCTGAGGATTATCAGCACAATCAAAGAGTGTATGTAAAGACCTATCCGTTCCTTAAATGGCCTTTATTTTTCAAAAGAATAGCAAGTGATTTGTGAGGTATTTCAGCAAGTATTTGTTACACATCTGTGGTGGTTACTTTAATAAAGACTTTATCTCTGACTGGGGTGGACTGGCGCGTGCTATAATCTAGTATCGGGAAAATGGAAGTCAAATGAGCCTCAGCTACATAACTAACTCAAGCCCAGCTTGGGTTGACACTGCTTCAGATGTCTCAAGATGATGAGGATGGTGGTGGTGGTGGTGGTGGTGGTGGTGGTGGAGGTGGTGGTGGTGGAGGTGGAGGCGGTGATGGTGGTGGTGGTACAGCTCTAAGATATTTCTGTGCACTAGCATTCTATACCTTGGTTGCTTCTTTTTACCCATGTGTGTCTTCTTATCCGTGGTGTGTGTCAGCACTTTGCTATGGGGCCCATGCAGGCCTAGAACTTATGACCCTCCTTCCTGCATCAGCCTCTAAGTGCTGGGATTACCAGGGTGCACCACCACACCCAGCTCTAATTGCTATCTTAATAGTTGTCTGGACTGACTCACTGTTTAGTCTTCCTGTCTTTCTATTTCCAGCGCAGTGTGGACAATAGATTAGGTTAATTGTGCTGCCGCCAAAGCTCTCTGTCTTAGAACGTTTCCATCATTATCTTGGCACTTATTTCTAAAATGGCTTTTTAAGATGCATGGAAAATGCTTCAAATTTAATACCAAATGTGATATTAGTATAAACGCTGGTGCTTTCTGTTCCGGGTCCATGTTTGCAGAAGAGGCTATTGGATTTCTGCGTGTGTGTTTGTCTGTGCCTCTGGAAGAAAATGGAGTGTATAGACTGTGTTCTAGTATCTGAATTTTACTTTTCTTGATGCTCACAACACTGTCTGAGGATGGGATGACAGACCAGCCAGCCCCCCACTATTAATTTCCATAGTTTTGTGTTGTTTTACATTATATATATATGACTAGCACTCGGAAGTTTCAAACTTTTTCTTTCAAGACCCTGAATAGAACCTATTTAGTAATTTTATTGTTTGGCTTTGTTTGTCTTAGATGTATTTTGCTTTTTAAGTACGTGTATATAAGGGAGAATGTGCTTGTGAGAGGCAGGTACCCACAGAGGCCCAAAGAAGGCATTGGATCTCCTAGAGCTGGAGTTACAAGCAATTGTAAGCCCCTTGATATGGGTGCTGGGAACTGAATCCTGATCTCTGCGAGAACAATATATCCTCTTAACCACTGAACTGTCTCTTAGCACCTCAACAGCTTGTTATGCCTTCTCTTTGAATTAAATTTCTGTTGTCACTTAAAATGATTAAGAAAGCATTATGTCTCCTGGATATCACCTAGAGATTTGCTTATAGGACTTTTGTTATCCTTTTTGTTTTAAATTTCCCTTGAAGCGACAGACAGGTTCACAGAACACCAACCATTTGAACCCTTTCCTCGTAGTTCATCAGAAAACCAATCCTCTAGATGTTTTGCTTCATGTAATTGGTCAAAAACAGCATCTCCAATTTTCTTTTTTCAGGAAACAGGAGTGATCGATCAGTCATTCGTTATTGTTTTTGGTGGTTTTTTTTTTTTTAAGGGTTTCTCCTCTTCAGAAGTCCGAGGTTGTTGAGATGGTTAAGAAACAAGTCAAAGTCATCACACTTGCGATTGGAGATGGCGCCAATGACGTCAGCATGATACAGACGGCCCACGTGGGGGTTGGGATAAGCGGCAATGAAGGTTTGCAGGCAGCCAACTCTTCGGATTACTCCATAGCTCAGGTAAAGCCTCACAGCTACGAAACACACCAACACTGCTTTCCAGCGGCTGACAGCGAAGAGGAAAATGCTAATGTCTTTCCGCTCCTCTCCTAGTTCAAATATCTGAAGAATTTGCTGATGGTTCACGGTGCCTGGAATTACAACCGAGTCTCCAAGTGCATCCTGTACTGCTTCTACAAGAACATTGTGCTCTACATCATCGAGGTAGCGGCGCGTTAAGCTTAGTCCTGCCCCTCCCGTTCGTAATTCTAACTGCTCTCTTTGTGGAGATCTTTTTCGTTGCTTTAATAAGTAATTCATCGTCTCACTTTTTAAGAAAAAAAGCAATTTTAAGATTTGTTTTTTGTTTTATGTGAATGGGTGTTTTGCCTGCATGTCTGTTTGTCTGTGCACCATGGGCTTGCAGCACCCACAGAAACCAGGGCAAATCTCCTGGAACTGGAGTTACAGATGGTTGTGAGGCATTGTGGGGACTGAAACCCTGGTCCTCCAGAAGACAGTCAGTGTTCTTGACTGCTGTGCCATTTCTTCACGTTTTATAATACCTGTTGTGTTCAAGCAAATAAGACGGCAGCCGTGAGAATAGTCATCAATGTTTCGATACTAGCTAAAAGTATTAGGTCACTTTGGTAGGAAGTCGAAGTCGAATTGCTAATGAATGATGTTTTCCATTTTTAAAACTTTGAAGACTCTAAAGCTTGAGCGTGTATGGAATTTCTTCAGCACACTGCCAGATGGGTAATACACACGTGTGAAAAACTGTATTTAAAAAGTAACAATCCTGGTGATGGGGGGGGGCGGATGAAAGCAAGGAGGGACAAAAACAAAGTCAAGGATAATGGTTAGCTCTGGTTCGGGGAGGCGCATGAGTGCAATCAGGAACTGCACTAGGTTTAGCTGTCAGGCATTCTTGTCTTCGATCAGCAGATCTCAGCCTTCCTAATGCTGCAACCCTTTAATACAGTTCCTCATGTTGTGGTGATCCCCCAAGAATAAAAGTAGTTTTATTCCTACTTCATAGCTGTAATTTGCTACTATTATGAATTATAATGTAAACATCTAATACACAAGGTATCTGTTACATGACCTCTGTGAAAGGGTTGGTCAACCCCCACAGGGGGTCGTGACCCACAGGTTGAGAACCACTATCCTGGCTCTTCTCTACCTCTTGCCAGCCATCTCTTTTAGTTCCTGGGGTTGGCAAATAACAAGGCTTTAGATAAGGAATTGCTCTAAAACATTCTATTTCTAGGTTCTTTCCATATATCAACGATAACATCATCTTAACAGAGGAAGCCTTAGTCTGGGGAGCTCCCTTGGTCAAGTAGAAGACTTGTCAGCCCGAGAACCTGAGTTCGAATCCCAGAGCCCATGTAAAAAGGCAGGCATGGGGCAGCATACGTCTGTAATCAAGGCACTGGAGAAGCAGGTCCCAGGAGCTAATCAGCCAGCCTAGCCTGCTCAGCGAGCTCCACGACAGTGTTTCCAACAAGCAGTCGGGGGCTCCTGAGGAAGGATTCCCAAGGCTGACCTTTGACCTCCATTCACATGCACACACATGGGCATCTGCACACGTGCAAACATGTATGTACACACAGAGAATTAAAACTTGGTTTTACCCTGCAGATATTTTGGTATCAAACTAGGCGTCAAATAACAGACAGACCACGTCAAGCGCAGGCCATAACCCCAGCAGCTGGCCTGTGAGGACAATGGAAGCCACGTCTGTAATTCTAAGTTTTCTAGGGGCTGCATTAGCAAATGCCACAACAAAAATCCAATTGATTTCAGTATTCTATTTTAAGTCCATTTAAGTCTATTTGTCTATTTGAATTATTAAAATTTTTAATTTTAATATAATTAAAATTATTATCACCCTCACCGATGTAAAAATTATGAATATTTTTGTGCTTGTGCTTATATCCTACATTCTTTCCCCCGTGCCCAGTGTATGAAATCTTGTACATATTTTGCCTTCAATGTAGTCAGAGACTGCTCGTTTGTTTTCCGGCCACCTCGCCCAGAAAAACACACCGAAACTATATTAATTGCAACACTGTCTGGCCGATTAGCTCAGGCTTCTTCTTAACTAACTCTTACACCTTAAATTAACCCATTTCCAGTAATCTGTGTATTGCCATGACTGTAAGGTTCTGGCAGCTGCAGAGTCTTTCTCTTTCAGTAGCTACAATGGCATCTCCTTCCTTCTGCCTACTCTCTTTCTCTATCTCTGCTCTGATTTCCTGCCTGGCTTTGCTCTGCTAAGCCATTGGCCAGAACAACTCTATTCATTAAGCAATAAAAGCAATACATATATGGAAGGACTTCCCACATCGCTTCAGTGCATCGTAATTTGGACTGAATGCATGCCAAGTGCTCTAACATGTATGTGGCCTGCAGGGCAGAGCAGGCAGCACCAGTGCTGGTGGACAAGTGAACAAGAAAGGGTTACTCAGTTGTTATTTTTTTTTATTTTTTGGCATTTATTATTTTGTGGGTATGGATGTAGACACGTATAAACTTCAGAAGACAGAAAACCAGAGGACAACTCGCAGGGATGTTTTCTTTTCTTTTTATTTTATTTTATTTCATTATTTATTTGGTTTTTTTTAAAGACAGAGTTGTTCTGTGTAGCTTTGGCTGTCCTAGAACTCACTCTATAGACCAGGCTGGCCTTGAACTCACAGAGATCCACCCACCTCTACCTCCCAAGTGCTAGGATTAAAGGCATGTGTCATCACCCAGCTTGGGAATCTGTTCTATCCAGGTTCATTACATGGGTTCTGGGGATGGAACTTTAGTGTGGGAAGTCCTTCTGTATATGTGTTTCTTTTATTGATTAATGAATAAAAAAAAATCTTCCTTGGCCTATGATAGGGAAGAGTAGATCTAGGCAGGGAAAACTAAATTGAATGCTGGGAGAAAGAAGGCAGAATCAGGAGAAGCCATGTAGCCCACCACAGGGAGACAGATTGGAACCTTGCCGGCAGGCCACAAACACATGGTGATACACAGATTAATGGAGATGGGTTAGTTTAGGATATAAGAGCAAGCTAAAAAATATGCTTAAGCTATTAGCCAAACAGTACTGCAAATAATATAGTTTCTGAGTGATTATTTTGTGATCTGGGCAGCTGGGAACGAACAAGCGGCTTCCTACTACAGAACTTAGATCTTCAGTCTTGGGAGCAAGAGTCTTTGCCTCCTGAGCCATCTCAAAGGCTCGTTGTCAGTTCCTTGCATAGCTCTGGGGAATTGGAACAGATGGGCAGGGGGAGGGGGGCAGTGACAAGGTAATGGAGAAAAATGTAGAAATCTGGGGCTGAGTGGTCTGGGCTCTCTGCTGGAGAAACCACATCACCCAGAGGCTGAGAGTTCTTATTAGAAAGAGCTGAACATAGAGGCAGGGGTATTGCATACACCTAAAGAAGGAGGCAGCGATATTACGTATAGATACACAAGGAAGTGGGGCTTATGGTGTAGAGCTGGGTTAGGGGGCAGGTCCAGCTACTCTGTAGGGCGGTCTCTGTAAGCCAACAGTCTTCAAGCTGTAAATGTCCGGGGTGAAAGCTGTGGTGGACGTTTTCTGCCAACACTCACAGCACTCACACCCGGCTTTGCCAATCCCTCTGAGCCTCACCCCAGGGAGTGGGCCTGTGGAGTCTTTGTCATGGCTATGCCCCTGTCACCAGCCCACACTCACTCAGTACTTCGCTCCCTCGGGGCTTCCTCCGCTCCCCACGGTTTCTTACAGGTTTTTTATTTGTTTATTTTTTTTTTTTTAGTATCTGGCCCCTAGGTCATCAGAAACTGTATCATAATAATGAACCTCCAGGTCGTCTGAGTTCCACGTTCCTCTGGACAGCTCTGAGGAATGTGAATAATTTGCTCAGAAAGCCATCTTCCACTCTTCCGAGGACCTGCCCACATCCTCACAGATGGCTGTCGGTGCCACCTTCCCCTCTATCCCGTGGACATTTCAAACGCATCTGTTGGAAGGGCATGGCCCACCCCCCTCTTTATGGAAATAAGACCCATTTTCACTCCGCGTCTGCTGTGTTAGTTGGCTCAGTCACCTCTGTCAGAATTCTTGTTATGCGTTAGATTGGGATGGGGACCCCTAATTTTGAGGTATCCAGACTATGTCATCCCTTCATCCCTTCACATCTGCAGTTAGGTTACCATGCTCTTAGCTAACGTAGCCAGATACATGGAAACATAGCCTCATTGATTACCATTAGATTTGATCTGGAAAACCTGTGTTTAATACAGACTTTCAAAGTAATTTATAAGTTTTGTTGTTGGGTATTTGTTTGTTTCTTTGTTGTTTTTTAATCTTTGAAGTCAGGAGTTTGGTGCTCACCAGTTATCCTAGTACTTGAGGATAGCCTGGGCTACCAAGTTAGACTGTCTCAAAAAAATGAACAGCAATAGCAGCAACAAAATGTTCGTTTTCTATATACATTTGTGGTCCTTCCCTAAAAGAATTATTTTTATTTCCGTCCCCTCTATATATCTAACTTTCCTAATTATATGATCTCACTTAAATCAATGAGAGAGTGATATACTTTATTTATATAGATTGCTTCTGTTTTAAGAATTTTAAGCCAAGAATGTAAGGTCTGTCAACAGAGAGCTGTGTACAAAGTATAATTTTTAATGAAATAGGTTCGTATTTTAAGTATATACTAGTTGACAATCAATTGGGTTTTTTTTTCCTTAAATCTGACCGACAGCAACAATGAAGTGTGAAAACATAGGTTCTAATGGGGAAACTTAAACTTTGTTTAATTCAAGTGAAAATGAAGTATTCACACCCTGTTTCGAACCCAGAATTATGTGACTTGTGGTTACCCAGCCCTGAATTTGACTTGGCTTTGAACATAAAGCCTCTTCATGAGCTATTTAACGCTGGTCGCATTCCTAAGGGGTTAAAAGGAAGCGAGATAGAAACTTCACTGGAAGCTTCGTTTTTATTTTTCTGGTGGCACTTTTTTGGAAATGTATTTTGAATATAATTCAACTGTCCTGGACGTGGGTTGAACTTTTAAATCCATTCCCTCCGTACCCAGCTTCTGCCAGCTAAAACAAGTTCTGCAGCTGTTAATGGCTCATGTCAATACTGAGCATGAATAGGCAGAAAACGCGTCTCTGAATGTCTCCAGCCAGGACAACCGCCAGTCTGGGATCTCTCCTTTCTGCTTGTGTGCTGATAGGGCGTGGGAGCAGGGACCCCACTGACTCTTTGCAAGCCGCTGCTTAATATTCAGAGGTGCTCCATCAGGAAGATGTCTGTGAGGCTTTAGCTGACACGCCTCTGCGGGAAGGGCGGGGGGAGCTTACAAAAGAATGCATAAGGAACGGGGTCTTAAACCCAAAGGGTGTAATAGATGATCAGCAAGAACTGCTTTCTTGCCATTGGCCTGCCAGGGCTATCACTAGCTAGCTCTTCTGTTGCTGGGAATTGCAACCACACACAGGTTCAGCAGGTGGCGATAATAGACAGCTTGCTCGGGTCGCTGCCTGGCAGTGGCTGTAGGTGTTCACTTAAATCACTGGCTCCTTTCTTTCCCTTCCTAACAAAGAGGAGCTTTTCTTTAAGATACTTGGTGGCATCTAGGTTTTCTTAGAGCCCACAAAAACAATGTAGGGTTTCTCCTTCCTAGAAAGTCATTAAACTCAATAAGGTGCTACTTTCCCAGTAAGCTATGCTGGGAAGTAAATTCCCTGGGAATTTAAATAATCTGAAAGGTCTGATGCTTTCTTTCTACATCCAGGGCTTTAGTTGGGTGAAAGGAGGGGCTCTATGTGCTTATGGTAATTCAGGTTCTGTCTTAGGGGTGTGTTATGACTTGAACTGCAAATCTCAGACTAATGTGATCATGGTAGACGACTTTTCTGTCAAAGATATTCTCTTTCTCCTTAAAAGAAAAGCAGAGAGCAAACGTTTGAATACCAACTATTTACATAAAGATGTCTCCTGTATTGAAAGACTCTGCCCTTATGCAGGCATTCGAATCTGTTCTCTTTTAAAAAGAAAAGCAGCACGGAGACTTAAGCTTTGGAAGTACAAAGGATAAATTTCTAAGCACATGGCACATACCTTTCATCCAGAAAGCACAGTGATAAAAATGTGTTAAGTCCCACTTAAGTGTTTTCGATTATAACACAGTCTGCTTCTATATTTTAAAATATACTTTGAATGCAAACGTGCTGGTTTATTTGGGAGCTATTTTGTGTTTGAAACCTTGTCTGCTCATTGGCTTGAAGGAGGGTCTTAAACTCTAATCTTGTACTCTAGTTACTGGCCATATACACTTTATTAACATGAGCTTACACAGTATCAACTTTAACACAGTATCATGGTTTAACAATGCATTTAAAATTAGTCATTCCCTGTGCGCTGGATTGGAGGCATTCACGCTTAACACTTGCTCAGCCGTCCCCTTCCACTATAAACACGGAGAAGGCCAGTACAGAAACTAACTGTTCATGGGGTGGGGGCAGGGGGCGTCCTGGGCTCATACTGATGAATGTCGAATTTGTAGCAGTTCATGCTTCCACAATGAGGTTAAAGGAAACATGAAGTGTAGCAAGGTTTCTGTGACTCCAAGTGCTCTCTGGAGCCGCACGCCAAACCGTTCTTCCCGGCTGCCTGCTATTACTGTGCCTTTTGCGTGTATGAGCTTCCTGCTGGGCCAGGCGTCTTCCTTTTCCAAGTCCGCTTGATTCTTAATTATATTTAGGTTGGCTTTTTAAAAATGCATTCTTTCTTCAAGGTATTGCCAGTAATCACTTTAGTTTTGTACTTGCTTTAAATACGCTGAATTAAAATCATTATTACTCCTAAATTTTGTTTCCCAAGTAAGGGTTTCTCTTTCAAAGACACTGACAAACATGTTCTAGTAATTAAAGACCTGACTTTATTCTAGCATTGGAGTTGAAGATGGGCTCATGAGTGCCTGTCACTACACCTCCAGGAGATCACGTGCCTCTGGTCCCCTCCGGTACCTGCAGTTATGTCCCCACACCCACATGCAGACTCATACGCCTACACAGAATGGAAAATTTAAATTTAAATTTTAAGTTTAAAAGATTTCAATATGTAAATTCAAATTTAACATTCTGATGGCAATAGTTATGAAGAACCGCAGAAAAAAAAAGAACAAAAAAAGGAAACATATTTAAAGCGTTAGGTTTTACTTGAAATGTTTATCCCAAGGGAGGAGGAAGATGTGTAAGGTTTCAGTTAGGAATCATTTCTGATAGCAAGAGCTGTTAAACCAGCCGAATCTCCACACTGCAAGTTCTGAATCCATTAACAGTGCGTTAAGGGGTTGTGAAAATTCCAGCGCTCTTTGTGATGTTAAGGGGAAGAAGTAAGCTGTGACACTATACAGTTGGTCTCAAGTAAAATAAACCGTGACATTATTTATATAAACTACACACATGACACAGGAGAGAATGATAATTCTATTACTACAGGAAATTACTTCCTAAATAAAGAACATCTGTAATAAAAAAATAATCTTTAACCAAATCCTTCTAGGATTCTGAAAGGGGAATTAAAGCTATGAAAATTTAATGACATAAATATATTTACATGAAGAAGCAATACCCATTTTTTAAATCTGCTATTGCTTGCCCATATAGGTATTTAGATTTGGCAAATAGAGCAAATTCTGTCTCAAATGGCAACTGTATAATGAAAGCGCCCCTTTAAGTCAAAAGTAAAGACAGGAAATGTCATTGTCCGGAGACCTGCAGACAGTCCGCTGGTGCTACCTTTTAGGGTTCCATGTGTTGAAATTCTGTCCTAATTCTGGGACTTGGGACCTGTTTTCTTCCTAGATCTGGTTTGCCTTTGTCAATGGCTTTTCTGGACAGATCCTCTTTGAGAGATGGTGCATAGGACTTTATAATGTGGTAAGTTGAGCCCATTTGATAATCCCTGTTTTGTTTACGGCTGAAGCTAAGTGTAACCGCCTTCATCTGCCGTGTGGTGTAACGAGCAGTTTGTGCCTTCAGATGTTTACAGCCATGCCTCCCTTAACCCTGGGGATATTCGAGAGGTCGTGCCGAAAGGAGAACATGCTGAAGTACCCTGAGCTGTACAAAACATCTCAGAACGCTCTGGACTTCAACACCAAGGTAGGAGCTGCTGTCCGCTCCAGTCTTCAGAGGGGTTTTCTCTATGGCTGAAGCTTGGGCCATCTGGCCTGCCTCGGCCAAGAGCTCCAGAGTACTGAGTGTAGAAGTCAATTGAAGGTTCCGAGTATGGGGGACTAATGAATTTTGTTGGTTGGATTGGATTGCTTGGGAGTTTTGTGGTTTTTTATTTGTTAGAATTTTCTTTTTCTTGTTTTTCTTTTTTGGAAGATTACAAAATTAAAATGAACCCACTCTTCATCAGGGTTCTTGGGGCAGCAGTGAGTAGACGTGGCCTGCCAGGCCATGTCCCTGTCCTTTCAGACAGTGTGGGAAATGGGTCACTTCTCACCAGCTAGTCACCTGGGCCTGACACAGCCTGGCTTTACTTGTATATTGGGGTGAGGAGCGTTATCTCATTCTTTCCCAGTCTCCTATCAGAGAAAATAACGTTCTCATTAGAATCTTAGACTGGTTGAGTTGGACATTAATTAAAACTATAGTCTCCAGGAAGTAACTTCCTGTTTGCTAGGTAGCCCCAAGGCTTAAAATTAAAAAACACAGATGAAGCATCCAGCATTTTGTCTAAAACTGTAGTTTGCCTGGGTTGTTGTTTTTTTGTTTTTATCTAGAAAGTTGTTTTTCTGTTTTCGTCATTAGCCTAAAAAGCAACAGGTTTCCTTCTGTGTGATGATTTTAGCCTCTCTGTCCCTTCTCCCACCCCGCTGTGTCTTCCCACCTCCAGTCTTCCCCTGTACTCTCAGATCTCATGGTTCTATTACTCCGCCCATCGCCCTTCCTTGAGCCTCTTCCTCCCTTCCTTGAGCCTCTTCCTCCTTTCCTGGCCTCTGCTGGGTTCCTCACCTCAGTCTGTACATACTCTCACCTGAACATGCATGCATCAAATTGCAGTCACAAGGGCAGAGGCGAGGAGCCCGGGAGATGAGTGGGATTGGGATGCACAAAGAATCAATAGTTTAAAAGAAATAACTAAATAGTTTTTTTTAGAAAGAGAGAGAGAGAGAGAGAGAGAGAGAGAGAGAGAGAGAGAGAGAGAGAGAGAGAGGAGACCAAGAGCCACATACAAGAGAGAAGATACAGGGTTTATTCTCCTGCACCTGGGCTACCCCAATTAATATACTATTTCCCAGTTCCGCCCATTTCTATTCAAGGTTCCCAGACTCATTTTCCTTACGGCTGAATGAAATGCTGCCTCATGAATGCCCCCCATCATTTTCACTGTCCACTCATCTGCTGGTGGTGGGTGTTTGCGCTGACTGCCTTGCTTGGCTTCATACTCTCCCTGACACCTCCCATGCCACTGTCCTCTCCTGTGACCTGTGATAGTCAGTCAGTGATTCCAGCAGCATAGAATCGCATATCTGCCGAGCTTACTTTGCTGCAAGTGTATCTTCCAGCCTGTTTCCACACCAGGATTACGTAATGATGCAGTCTTCTGTCTAGTGTAACTGAGAGAGTGAATTTAAAATGGCAACCACCAAGGTATGTGCCATTTGAAACTCTAGTAGCCTTTGATTAGGAATAAAGCTGATGAACACATGTGACACCTCTTTACTGACTCGTTTCCACTTAGGTTAGTGCATGATTAGTAGTAAATCTGTGGCAGTTAGAGATAATTGCAACCCTGTGTTTTGAATTTACAGGCATTCAGCATAAGAACTTTTAATATGCATTAATTCATAAAGCTCCCTAGTGCTGTTTAGTCTCAGTGTACCAAGAACAACGTGAAACAGGTGTCTCGGTGCCTTTGTAGCACACACCGTAAATGATAGTGTGGAGTCTATAACAGGAAGCTATTTTTCTCCTGAGACTCAGTCTTCATGAACTGTATGGAAGTCCAGCAGCACACGTGCATATATCTGGTAGCTTCAGGTTAAATAATTGAAATTGCTCAATTAAAACATCAAACATCCTGACACTTGCCTAATTTGTACTCTGGTTTTGAAATGTATTTTTAGTGGTGTATTCTTCAGCTGTCTCTATTCATAGTATACAGTGTCTAAGTTAACGTCTTAGTGTTTTATTTTTTAGGGTATTTATTTATTATAAAAAATTGGTATCAAATTCTCCCCCACATTGCCACCATGGTTTTCATAACCGTGGTGAACATTTTTGGATGATGAAAAGCTTTTACGGTCAAGGCAGGTGCAGTGGTCATGAGCTCTTGTTTTCCTGTAAAAGTGATCTGGGAGCCAAGTGCGGACTGGGACATTGACAATACTTCTCACTAGCCTAGTGGGTTTTATCAAGCACAGCTGCAGGTCCTTGCCTCCACAGTTTCGGCTCTGTGATGCTATCTCAGAAGGTAGCATCCAGCCACAAACGTGACCACGTTCCTCTTGAGAGATAGCCCGCATTGATCCGCCCAGGATTACCTAGTAATTACTGAAAAGCTACATCCATCCTCGTATGCCCTCTACACATGACAATTATGGGCACAGTTTTGTGGTCAGGAAAAGGGCCTTAACAGGTAGTCTGCTGTATCGACGTAAGACTAACTTTTTCCTTCTCTGTTTCATTGTTGAAAAGTACTTTATCTGTAGAGCCGGTCATTTAAAAAGACTCCATCCAGATCAACTCAGTTAGGCTGCACACACCCCATATCTCTTTGGTAGGTATTTAGCTTATACATTCAGTTTGTCATCTATTTTTCTAGGGCTTATAGATTTTTGGCAAATGATTTCAGCGAAACCGTTTGATTGCATTCCATCTAAATGCTCTAAAATACAGGAACAAATGGTTACAAAATGCATAGTTGTCTACACAGCGGTTGCCGAGGGTCCCAAGTGTGGAAGCATTGTTCCCTTGAATGACGAGGCTTACATTTGTTATGGTAAAAGGGGTCGGAGGTCCTGAGGTCATGACAGGGGTTAAAGGATTAGCATGTGACAATAAGTATCAGTCGGGGGGAAAATGGAAAAGTAGAACTAATTTTTCTTGCACCCACCTGTGCTTTCTGTCAAATAAAAACTTGTGGTAATGACATAGTGAGCGGAGGCAACAAAGGTTAATGAGTAACACAAGTTCAGATGTGTAAAGTGCTGGAGCGTAAATCGGATCATACAGTCCAGTGTGGCTGGGTGAACTAACAGAGGAGGTTGAGATCACAGTGGAAAAGTTTGGGAGGCGGGCCACTTAATTTCTGTTGTTTGAACAGCTTAAAGCTATTAATACGTGCCGATTGCATTTAGCGTTTAGCTTTGTTTGCATGAAGCCATCTTAAATGGTGAAACTCCAGCTGTTGGGGGCTCATAAAGATTCGAAGCAGTATCCTATAGCTTAATCTTTCACGTTCTGTTACCGGTCCCGACGATGCCGGCTCTCCCATTCATAATACACAGGACATAAAAAGTAATGGCTGTTAAGTGCTGTGGTGACTGAAACTTGGTACCGACAGATGTTAAACAATGGTACGAAGCCTTTGATAAGTTCAGACGTAGTCACAATGCTTTATTTTAATGAATATATAATCTAAATGTTAGACTTCGTCTTTGTTTCCACACTCTATGCGTGTGCGTGTCTATTGCCAGAGAGAGAGAACAGCGTTATGTATTCATAGCACTGAAACATTTACACAGTAGCGGGACAGGAAGAGGGGGTGCATTTCCCAGTCGTAGCCTTTTAAAGGTTGGTTCTTCAAGAATTGTGAAAAGAATCCCAGTGTAAGAAATTCCGGGACCTGCATTTGTTATGAGATTTCCCCCCCCCCTTTGGCCGGCAGAAACTTAAACTTTTGATAGTGATTTTTTTTTAACATAGGAAAAAAAAATTCCAAGTGAAGCTGAAAAAAACATCTTGAGAAACATAAAAATAAATAAATGACCCGTGAGCGTCTAAGGCAAAGAGTGTCTGTCAGCTCTGTGAATTCACAGCGGTGGCCTCGGCAGAAACCCAGTTTGTGCATCTAGCTCGCAGATAAAAAGCGAGGTCAGAGGTCACAGTGCGGGTTTATCGCAAATGGTTCTCATGGATTTTTGTTTTCCCTCAGGTTTTCTGGGTTCATTGTTTGAATGGCCTCTTCCACTCAGTTATTCTGTTTTGGTTCCCACTCAAAGCCCTTCAGTATGGTAAGTAGAAAGGATATGAATGCAAAGAGGTGGTGGTGTCTCAGCATTCTAGGGAAGCAGCTCATTGTCAATACGTGGTCAGCGTCATGGCAGGCTTTCCTTTCGTGGTTTTTTCCTTCATCGAAAATACAGCGTCTCCAAAAGTTGTGCGCACAATAGAGACTTTCATTAGTCCTTTAGGTCACGTGATTAAATGTGCAAAGCCCTTCTTTCCTTCTCATGCTTCCCAAACTTACAAACGTTGTCCCTTTCCCCCTTTGCGAGTGTCTGCCGCGACAGTGCTGAGTGCCCGTGCCTGATGTCATCTGTTTATTGTTCCATGAGGCTCACGTTGAACACTATCCACTGAGCCTCACGGGTTGTGACTGCGTTTTCAGGTGATCTTGAGCTGACAGTTTTCGTGTGTTTTCCCCTCCGCCCTGGAGTGTGCACTTTTGTCTCAGCTAGTCTCAAGGGAGTGATTTTATCCCATCAGTTATGAAAGAGAGGATCACGGTGTACTTCCTACGGATATAAAAATGATGAAGTGGGTGCCTTAGGGAGGAAGGATGTCTGTCATGCCTAGCCTAGTGCTTTGAGTCCCGGAGGCAGACCCCTTCCCTGGGATGCTAAGGAAGCTGCTGGCTCCTCGATTCTGTTCTCCACGGCGGCAAGAATGAAAAACATTGGCTCGTTCTCCACGCAGGCAGCTGTCAGTCCTTCCTGAGTACAGGCATTCCCACCACCTGTGAACTCATGGCTGTTCGCATAGCTTCATACTGCCTGTTCCTGCCCTCATACAGCTCCTTTAACAGGGGTTTCCAGGATGACCTTGAGAAGACATTAACCAAGTGCTTCAAGGATTAATACACTTGCAACGATGTCCTCCACTTCAGGAGTCTTGTGTGTTCTTCCCCGAGAGGCTCTCCCAGATCACCCCTGTCCCCCTGCTGCGCCCCCCCCCCACTCGGTCCCATCATCATCCTTACGTCTGCACACTGCTTGCCTAGCCTGGCTTGATGTTTTGGCCTCTCTTCCTCCTCCTCCTCCTCCTCCTCTAAGCCTCAGCAGGCTGAGGAGTGGGTCAGTTTGCTGATACTTGCTGTGCTCAGAACAGTGCCTTGCTTCTTGTGGGTACTCAGTCAGCTGTGGCTGGATTACCGAGGCTCACAGGGGGAATGCATTAAGTGTTCCAGAGAAAATGGTGGACTCCTGCCTGAGCCGAGATTGTAATCTCCTTTGTCAATGACTCAGGAAATTGTTAACAGTAAACACTACTCAATTTCAAGATCATAGGAAATAGTTTGTTTTTTTTATTGAGGTATAATTAAGTTACTGCCACATTTGCCTTCACAATGCACCGTTCAGTGGTTTTTAGTATTGAACTGTGTAAAGGTCACCGACATATAATGCCACCGCCATCATATTTTAGCACCCCAGGAAAGAAATCCTGTGCCCATCAGCAGTCACTCCCTAATTTCCCGTAGCCTCCTCATAGCCCTTGCAAACCACTCATTTTTCTATCTCTGTGAACTTGCCTATTGTGAGCATGCCATATAAAGCAGAGTTCTGTACATGCGCTGTGCTTTTTCACATTGCAGTATCCATAATGATCCCCTTTCTGGTTAAATAATATTCCACTGTATAGCCATACCATTCTTTAGTTACCCACTAATCACTTGGCGTACATTATGTTGTTTCTGCTTTTTTTGAAGCAATCAGATACTGAAGTCCAGGGTACAATTCAGGACATCCTGGCCTTACTCAAATTCACCAAGTAAAGTTAGCTTCAAAATGTGTAAAATCAACATAAGAATTAAAAGCAAGATACCGCCAAACCATGAAACTACCATTTCGACATTCTAAACTAGAAAAGGGAAATTTAATATCAAAAATAAGCCAAGCCAAACAGCAAGCAATATACTTTAAACATGCCAGATCTCTTGCTGTGTTTTCCTGGGAAACAGTCCACATCAGCCCGCTTCAACCCAGGCGTCCCCAGCAGCTGCTGCCTGGGGAAACCAGATCCAGAAAAGTCTGGAGGATCCTTGGCTTTTTCTTCAAAGAATGAATTATAGGTAGCACAGGCTTCAGTTCCCAGTTTGGTGTTGAGAGCTTTGTAATTGTTTTTAAGTGAGTGCTATGAGATGGGGAGACTTGTTTTGCTTCGGAAGGAAGGAAAAACTGGAGCCCGTAGAAGCATGCAACATGAAACGTAATAATCATTTTTAGTGGAACACTTCCAAGAGTTGTCTATAGATTCCTTATAAAACTCGAGCGCTTTTGGAAGTCTGTGGGGTCAGAATTTGAGTCTTTATCAATTTTAGTAATAGTCGGGTTTTTGTCTTTTACTCAGTCTGGGATAAGTCACGTGGTGCTTTGGTGACTACCATGGCAGTGAACTTGTGCTTGTCTCTGCAATTCCCCACTGCCGTATATACCCAGTTTCACTTAAGGTTGCCCGTGAAGAAGAAGCTGTCGGCCAGTGCTCTGATTAACCCTTGAACTCTGGTGTGTCTCGGTAGAGTTCTGAGAGACAGGCTGGGCAGACCTGAAAAGCACACGGCTCGGTGTCTCACACCGGGGGAAAGGATGTTCTCTTCGTGAGGTGAGACACTGGCTGCCACGGGATTAAAGTCTCGCGTGGCACCACGTGATCAGTGGATTTTAATGTAACCAGGTACACAGAGTTCACTAGCGGAGTATCAGATTCCGTGCTGGCAACTAGCCTTTGAAAGACAAAAACAAAAATCAGACCTCTACCTCTGGGGGTGGGAATGCTTGTTGAGTTTTGATGTAATATAAAAGAATTACTGGGAAAGATTACCAAAAGAAACATAGACACACCCATCATAACTCCGTGTATAATCTCTACAAATCCGTATTTCTCTGAAATATTGTAACCAAAGCAACGTGGGAGAGCCCAGCTGTAGTCTGTTAAATTCTGGACATTAAGGAGATTAATGTAAAATAATGCCAATTTTCTCACTCATTTTTGTTTAGGAAAATAGATATTTTTCATAAAATGTGTTTATATGACTTAGTACTGGGTTTATTACTGTTGTTTTTAGATAAAAAAAATACAGATTTTTTTAATGTTCTGTTTTAATTTCTAATTTGGTAAATACTGATAGCTATAAAGCATGTATGCAGAAGCCCCTGGGGATGCCCAATCATTTCTGAGTGAGTCCAAAGACCAGGAACGACAGCCAGTAGTTTAACAGAGCCATCCAAGTGTCCCTGCCTCAGCCCAGACAGCGTATGTAACTTGAGTGAACCTGAAAACCACCCGAGTAGGGAGCCTCATGCTGAGTTCCCTGGGACTGAGTATCAATATTTTCCACCAGTAGTATCATCTCCTGGTTAGTTGCTATTCCTTCATCTACAGTTATTTTTTGTTACTTATTCCTAGAATAACAAAAGACTTTAAATGTGCCCAGAAGTCCAGCCAGACCATCAAAGCATCGTATGCCTGAGATCGGCTTGGTGTATGGTTTTTCACGGCTCCCTCTTGGTCCCATGTTAACAGCTTCATTGTGAAGGGTCCAGTGACTGTCCCTGATGCTGTCAGCCTTCTGAAAATCTCATCCTGTCAATACCAGAACTTTAGGCTTTCCAAATGATTGAGTTCAACATTTTTGTGTATTTGTTTATTTTCATCTTGTGGAGTCTAAAATTGGTTAGCGAGTCAGATTTCTCATTTGGTGTTTAATAATTTGTGGCCATGTGCCACAACTCTATGAGGAAGAACAGCATGGTCTAAAGATATACTTCAGTTCTGGCCCCACCATGCACCTCGAGGTTCTTCTCATGTTCAGAATGACTAAGTTGCTGTCTTGGTTTTGAACCTCCCTTCATTTTCTTCCCTAACAAGCCTCCCTTCTTTCCTTGCAGGCACAGTATTCGGAAATGGGAAAACCTCAGATTACTTGCTGCTGGGAAACTTTGTTTACACTGTGAGTTCAGCCCCCTTGCGTGCTTCTGTCTAAAGTCACTGCCTTTTGTCTCTGCCCCTTTCCTTTCAGACTTAAATGTGTACAGGGTGGGGTTAAGGGTCATTTAGGGTTTCCTTTAAAAATGAAATAAGGCATTTGGATTATTAAGAGCTTTCTACATATGGTTTTGTTGGGTTTGTTTTGTATATTGGGCTTTTTTGTTGTTGCTTGTTTTGTTTTGAGATAGGACCTCACTGTGTAGCCCAGGCTGGCCTTTAACTCCAAGCCCTCTCACCTCAACCTCGACCTCACTGTGTAGCCCAGGCTGCCCTTTAACTCCAAGCCCTCTTACCTCAACCTCGACCTCACTGTGTAGCCCAGGCTGGCCCTCTTGCCTCAGCCTCCCAAGTACCAGAATGATCACCTGGCACAGGTACACCACACCTGCTCTTTTTAAGAATGATTTGGACTTTAAAAGATTTCTGTTACTTTGATTTTCAGTATTTCCTCTTTACTCTTACTTTCCCATTAATTCTGTTTCTCATTAATTCATTTTTAACTTTCTCCTCTATAATTTATCTTACTGCCATCACTAATGTGTGTGTACGTGGGGGGAGGGGCTTACTGAATGCTTACAACATCATCAAAGTATTCTTGGGTGTGTAACCAGCGAGTCCTCTAAAGGCTCATGCTAACTAACAGTAGGGTGTATTGGGACGGAATAAGTGGCTCAATGGTTAAGAGCACTAGCTGCTTCTGAGGACCTGGGTTCAGTTCCCAGCACCCACATGGTGCCTCACAGCCATCGGTAACTCCAGTTCCATAGGGTTTTCACACTTTCTTCTGGCCTTGGCAGACGCCAGGCACACAAGTGGTACACACACACATATACATGCAAGGAAATATCCAGACACATAATATTTTTAATGAGAGAGACTGGCAGGCTTAGGTAACGTTTCCCCTACAGCTACCAGAGACCCACCAAGCTCTTCCCACTGCCTCTGAGATGCCAGAAAGAACTCAGACAATTCTTCTGCTAAAACTCAAGAGGTCTATGGACTGCTAGTGCGCATGGCCAGACAGCTGAATCCGGAGCACCGTCATTCCAGCCTGAATTGTATATTCCACGACCAGCACTCTGTCTATTCCTTACATGCCTCACTCCCCACCTGCTCACTCACTCACTCAATCCTCTTCAGCCTCTGTGTAGAGAAAGCGGGCCAACCAGCCATTGGTGTGGCTGACTCTTTGATAATTGTCCTCAAATGTCATTTTGAGCCTGAGAGTATAGCTCAGAGGAGAACGCATTTCAGCCCCCAACACTGAAAACTAAAATACACAAATCTCAAGTGTTGAAATGACTGAATGATAAGAAATTAGGTTCATTTGCTGTACTGACTTGTTTGAACTCTCAGCTTCACACAATCTAGAAGAGAGTCTTAATGAGGAATTTTTTAGATCCACTTGTCCTATGGGCATATCTATCTGTGGGGATTGTTAAGTGAATTGAGAAGACCCTCTGTTGAATGTGAGTAGCACCAGTCCATGGTTTGGGCTTTGCATTATATAAAAATAGAGAATTCTAGCTGAGTATGAAGCAAGCGTGCATCGAGACATGCATTGGTTCTATCTCTCCTCTTAACTGTGGATATGATGTGTGATGGTCCTGCCTTGATTTCCCTGTAATAATAACGGGAACCTGGAATTGTAAGCCAGGCCAAATAAAATGTTTCTGTATTGCTCAAAAGGCGGATGTTCTAGTACAGCAACAGAAGTCATACTCAGTCAGAGGGCTTCAGGTTTGGGAAAATCTTGGGATTTCTTTCCACTGGTGTCTTCCCATTGAAGGAGTAAAAGAAAAACCATGGTTGAGAGGATTGTTCTCTTATAACATGAATGCCAAAACAGAACTGTGTATACACTTAACTAGGTAGCTGAAAATAAGCCACGATTTATATTTTGGCTGTCTCTTGGGGACACACCATAAAGTCTCGGGTCTCAGAAGAGTACTTTGCTTTCATTTTGTCCTTACTGGAAATTTTATTGTAGCTTATGCCAATATCTACTAATATGGGTTTAGTGTCTGCAGATATTAATCATAATTTACCAACAGATATCCTGATGAGAAAGCCCAACTGTACTCCTGTACTTTAACTTTTCAAACCTGCTCAAAAATGTTTAAACATGTTCTGTCCCCAAAAGCTGAAAGGATTGGGCCCTATGGGCATTGGCAGTCGCCAGTACCAGGCAAGAAATACATTTTCAGTGCTATGAGTTAATCCTAATGCCCAGAGTTTCCTTGATTCATGATGTTTCAGTTTTTTACATGAAATCATAAATAGATCATAATAATATGAGCACTGGTCTGAGTAGTCTGTATTCAGTGTTTTAGTCAAAAACAACCTTGTGAGGAAGATGCTCTAGTTGGTCTTTCATCACTACAGACAAACATCTGCACAAAAAAACTTAAGAGATAAAGTTTATCTGCTCACAGTGTCAAAGGTGTTCATCCATCCTGGTGATGGATGATTAATCTTGGTTGTCAATTTGACACACTTGGGAAGAGGAAATCTCAAGCAAGGAATTAATCACCTCCATCAGACTGGCCCATGGGCATGCGGTAGGGCAGTCTCTTGATTGCTAATTGATGTAGGTGGAGCCATCTCTGGTCACATGGGCTTGGGCTGCATAAGCCAGGTAGCCTATATAAACCTAAGCGAAGCCCTTGGCCTCTGCTTCAGTTCCTGCCTACGGGTTCTTGACTTGAGTTCCTGCTCTGACTTCACTCCATGATAGATATAACCTGCAAGACGAAATCAACTCTTTCCTCCCCAGGTCACTTTTTTTCATAGTGTTTATCACAGCAAGAGAAAACAAACTAGAACAGAAATTGGTACCAGAAGTGGGGTCTTGCTCCCACAAACCTTACCATGCTGTGTGTGGGGAATAGTGTAAGCGCGTCAGGCTGGAAATGACATTGAGTGCTCAGAACTTAATGGGCTGATCTATGAGAGCTTCAAAGACAGCAAAGACAGACTTATGAAGTTTCAGAGAGACATCTGAGAGTCTCTCAAAGATTCTCAGGGCCATTAGTATAATATTTCGAATTAAAGTCTGAAGCTCCTGGTTAGCTGGAGCTGAAGAATCAGCTGTGATTAGCAAGAGGACTAGTGTCAGGGCAGCAAAACCTTTGCTTTGCTAGGACAGTCGAGCGATTGACGCTGGGCAGCAGGGGCCAGAAAGTTGCCATAACGATTAATAAGAGACCTCCTCTCAGATGATGTCAGCCTGTGTCAAACTGACATAACACTAGACAGGACACCATATAATCACCCCAAAGGGTGTGTGTCTCAAGAAGTGACTGACTCAGCAGGGCGGTGGTGGCGCATATCTCTAATCTTAGCGCTCCGGAGGCAGAGGCAGATGGATCTCTGTGAGTTCAAGGCCAGCCTGGTCTACAAGAGCTAGTTCCGGGATAGGCCCTAAAGCTAGAGAGAAACCCTGTCTCAAAATAAAACAAGAAGAAAAAAGTGGCTGACTCTCATAATCCTACATTTGCAGAATTATAGATACACAAAGTTCCAGAATAAAGACTAGTTGTTTGCTTCTATAATTTATCTTTAAAATTCAGGAAGTGAAAAAGATTCTGTTAAGAGAAGCACATGCCATCACTGCTCATGGACTGTACAGGATATAACCAGCGGGGCCCTCATTAGCCTCCTTGACTGACTCTGCAGCAGCTTATGTGAGCAGAGGCAGAAGAGGGGCAGCAGGAACCATGCACATGGCAACTGTTGCCATGGCCTAACGAGTGCAATTAACCTGAACTGCGAGTTTGATAGGCACAGAGCTGGCTTCACTCAGACCTACGTGTTCTTTGGAAGGCCTCTCTGTCACTTGGCAGATTTGGATACCATGACACAATGTTATAAGGCAAAGTAACATTTTCCCTTTCTGTTTTTAGTTTGTAGTGATAACTGTGTGTTTGAAAGCTGGACTGGAAACCTCATATTGGACGTGGGTAAGGATATCTCTAAGCATGTGTCTCTTTGTTACAAAGTCTGCAGTTAGGGATTGTGGAGCACTGGGCACAGAGGGAGGGAAGTAGGGATTTTGCGTTAAAAACACTGAGCTAAATGTGTTTATTATTGAGACCTCTCGAGCCTTTAACAGTGTTGTACACTGTTACCAGCTCACAAAGATGGAGTCTTTCAGGCTAGTGATGCCATAGGACTGGTGTTCCACAGGAAACCTGTTAGAACAAGAAAATTAGTGAGATGTAGCAAGCTTTCTAATGACACTGTCTTTGGATTGCCAGCCCCCAAATAATGACATGGAGACTTTTTATTAATTAGGAAAGCTTGGCTTTAGCTTGGGCTTGTTTCCAACTAGCTCTTATAGCTTAAGTAACCCATTCTTTTTTAATCTACGTTCTGCCATATGGCTCAATTACCTCTTCTAGGTACAGCACTTTCTACCTGCTCCAAATCTGCTGGTGGATCCTGCCTAGATCCCTCCTCCTCTTCCTGTTTCTCCCTGGAAATCCCACCTATCCCCTCTTGCCTAGCTATTGGCCATTCAGCTCTTTATTAAGTCAATTAGAAGGTGTCTTGTCAAAGACACATCTTCACAGTATGCAAAAAGATTATCCCACAACAATGAGATACCCGTCTTCAGACACTTAACAGATGAACACTCTGTATAAAACACGTTCCGCTTTCAACACATTAGTTTTGCAGCCTGTCTACTTCCAGATAGGGAGAGTTACTAAAGAAAACAAAATTATAGTTCAATACTCAAGGAGGAGGGAAATTGGAGCGAGAAATTTGGAATTGACACCTATTGACTTGGGTGTAATTCTCTCTCGTGTGTCTAACGTCTTTGAGGAAGAGCATGCAGAGCAAAGATAAAGGAGAGTGGAAGCTATGGATAAAAAGGATAAATGTCAGAGCAGAGGCCAATGGAGGCAATTGTGGGACGAATGCATGCAGTTATAGCCCAGTCCTGGGAGGTGGGGTTTTTCTGAATTCAGTACACATCAGAAGAGAATCTGCGACTGTCTTTCATAACGTTTGCATGCTTGACTGACCCAGATTTCCTTGCTCACAGTTCAGCCACATTGCCATCTGGGGCAGCATCGCACTGTGGGTGGTGTTCTTTGGAATCTACTCATCTCTGTGGCCTTCCGTTCCCATGGCCCCCGATATGTCTGGAGAGGTAATGTATGTTAATGACTCATGACCCAGCAGAACCTTAGAAATGGGTATCCGTTACCGAACCCTCATCCCACTCAGCATGACTTTCCATCTTGAGGGTCTCTAGTCAACTGCGTTTGACCACCCTCAAATGCCACAGGTGGGAGAGATAAATCTCCAACCGGTATTTTAAACTTCAACATTTAACTTCAATCTGACTTATCCTTTCCTAAACACACTGGAACAATAAAATATGGTTGTAGGGAATTTGAATCTTGTCACGAGTACCCACATAGAAGATACCATTTTAAAAAGTAGACCATAAATCCATAAGTGCACTCAGGATAAGAGACTTCGGGAAATGGTGTGGCTCCTTCTTTGGGACAATCTGTCATTCCCTCTGTTGTCTCTGATTCCAAGAAGTCAATCATCACGAGATGAAATGCGCTTTTCACGTTGTCCAAGGACAACAGTTTGACTCTTCGTTTTGAAGGAACTGAGGCACGTGACACCTCAACCTTATCATATTCCATTTTCAATTCTGTCTTTCAGTTTCTTGTTACACTGGGAGGAATTGAGTTATTAGGTGTTCATAGGGGAGTGTCAAACTATCCCCTTTCCTTCAGAAGAGGGTCCAGCAGTAGGAGGGTTTATGATTTCAATTGCAGGAAATTTGACATAAAATGTATGAAAGAAAATGTGGAAAACATTTCGGGATTTCCTGTGACCTCACAGTTACTTGCAAATCAAGGTAACGTGAGCCCTGTTGCGGGCTGTTGTTCCGCCGTTTCCACAGGAGCCCTCTCCAGCGGTCTGCACGGAGTTTCTGCCCGTTAGTCTGCCTGAGGACCCTTCACTTTTGACAGTCTGGTTTATAGATCATTTTCATGAAATCTGATCTGACAGCACCCTGCTTTTTATAAATTAACAGAATGCAGGCACTTAAAAAAAAATAATGTGGTTAAATTTATTAGAGAGAGGCATTCTATACTATTCCAGGGAAACCAGATGCATCGACCAGCCCGCTTGTCCCTCCGTCACATGGGAAGGCATCTTTTGAAACATGCACACTGTGAAGCCTAGCAAGTTTGCAGAATGTGTTCTAAAGAGAACAGAGAGAAAGCTACAAATGCAGCTCCTCTTTGCCTTGGTTTCCCAAGTCTTTTTCCTGCAGAGGAACATGTTCCATGCATGTGACAGTACATGTCGCCTATCTCTGACCCAGCCCTGCCATGTCCCTGCTTTACGATGTCCGCCTGAACCTGCTTTTCCCCCAAGGTCACATCTAACTGAATCTCTTTCACTGCATGTTACCTCCACTGCATTTACCTTGTTTCTTCGTGTTTATTTTATCTTCAAAATGAGTACCCCAGGAGACTTTGAGACCCCGATCATTTAAGTAGCTGTGGCTTGTGGGTCTGATGACAAGAACTGAGTCATTGACCACCTACTTCTAGGACAAGTGTAAAGTATGGTTGGCTTCTAGCCAGCCACATAGAATTCTACCCCTGCCTGTAGAATTCCTGGTATTACCCAAACACAGAACTTAATATTGTCTCTTGAGACGCACGGCAGTGCCGTGTTTAATTCAAAGTGGAATGAATGTCAGTGCTCCATCACGTTTCTGTTCGCTTTGTGGACGCTGGGACCTGCTAATGGGAGCCCTGTTTCTTCCGGCTTCATGACTACTGCAACTTTGACTAAAGTATTTACATAGCTGGAGCTTCGTTGAAAATAGAAGGACCGAATTAGTTCAGCTGTAGTCTTTGCTAGCTTGTCCAAAACATGTCAGCTTCGCTTAGCCAAAGGAAAAGATGGAGTCTTTGCCCTTCTGTCGCCCTTCAGTGCCTGTCACGTCTTTTGAAGTGTGTGTACATGAGTGTGTGTTCAAGTGACCCTCATCTCCGACCAAGGGTTTGACAGAAACGCCATTGATGGTTGTCAAACATAGGTGGTGTCCGTTTGTTGCTTGCGCAGTGGGGTAATCAGAACCCCTCTCTGTAACAGTTCATGATAAGCACAGTCACTGGTTCTAGTAAACCTCAAATCACTTCAGAAAGAAGTGATTTCTCTTGTGTGTGAAATTTTACAAAGCCCAAAGTTCTATATTTCCATCGAGACTACAGAACATGTGTATATATATATATGAAGTTTCATTCTTGTGCCAAGGCTTTCTATCCGTTATAAATCTGTGCAGAATTGATCAGTCATCTTACAGTTTATTTAGTCATCTGACTTTCATAACAAAGCTGTTACAGCACACACAGGGCAGTATATTACTGTAGGTTGCAGCGGTCAGCACTGCCTGGTCCGACATGTGCTGTATAGGTACACACCATGAAACAGCACCCGGGACAGTGCCCAGGATGTAGGGATAGTTCAAGAACACCTCACACACTGAATAATAGCTTTCTGTCACCCCAATAGCAAGGTCATTGGTGTCTGATTCAGGGATTCTACCTGCTCTGCCATCCTGTCCCTTCCCTGTCTCGGCAGCACTTCCTCCCGAGACAAAATTTTGAACATGGGTGCCTTAGAGTTTCTATTGCTGTCAGGAGACAACTTGACAACTCTTATGTAGGAAACCATTTAATTGGGTGGCTTGCAGTTTTAGAGGTTTAGTCCGTCATCATGGCAGGGCATGGCAGTATGCAGGCAGACATGGTACTGGAGAGGTAGCTGAGAATCCTGTATCTTGCAGGCGACAGGAAGTGATCTGTCTCACTGGGTATGGTTTGTGCATATATGAGCCCTCAAAGCTCACCCCCACAGTGACACACTTCCCCCAACAAGGCCACACCTCTCAATAATGCCACTCCCTTTGGGGCCCATTTTCCTTCAAACCACCACAGTGGGTGTGTTTTAGTTGCTGAAAAGCTTAATATATGGGCAGGCTTTGGAAGCTGAGACACTCGATGGCCTTAAAGGAACGTTGGCTGAATAGAGGAGCTACTCCTAAAGGTAGCCAAGACCTGTGAGGAGCCATAGCACCAATCAGCCAGTGCTGTTGAACTTGAACTTGCCCTCAGGTTCTTCTCCATTGACCGCATGCATAGCCAGTCAGTCTGACAAACGTCTCCAGGGATTCCTCTGCATTAGCCACTGTTCCAGGTTCTGGATTCAGGAATGACAGAGATCGTGTCCTCCTGCAGCTGACTTCTCTAGTGGGAGGAGAAGGACGATGGATAAATAAGCGGAATATACATGGGTAGAGAAGTGCGGCGGGCAAGGGTGCCATGTGCCAGGTTTCCCACGGAACCCTGAGGCTTCGGCTCACAATCAGATACTAAGCCACTGGAGGAGCCTCGGGGTCTCATGACCTGACTTGAGCTTTGCACAGGGCTCTGCCTGTTGTGTCAGGAGCCTATGCACGGTTATTTCAGGGAACCAAGTGAGAGATAGCGGTCTCTCGGACCAGGAGGACAGTGGTCCAGAAGAGGTAAGATGCTGAGAGCTTCAAGTGATGGGACTTGCAGGTAGGTGGAATGTTGGCAGGGAGAGGGAACTTCAAGATTGACTCTAGTGTTTGCTGTTAACAAAACAAGAACACATTAGACATTAACTCCCTGGGTCCCATCACAAACTTGTTTTAGTGGCTCAATTTCAAGATGAATTAACTGAGCAGTTAAATCTGAACTCACATGGGAAGTGGCCGAAGGCTTTCAGCAATGCTACTTCTCTGGTACTAGATGCTTGGTTAGGACTCCCTGAGTTTGCAAGGATGCTCCCTTCTGGTGAGTGTCTCGTGGATTTTCATAGAGAAGGAAACCTGTTGTCTATTGTCCTACAGGGCTACTTTTCCCAGGCATCAATGTGACAAGGGTCATTACAGTGCCACAGCATGAGTCCTAATGTTGCTGTCACCATTGTCTTATCCACTTATATGGCGCAGGGTTTCCCCAGGGCGCCATGATAAATGCTAATTGAGCATTCATTTAAACTTCTGCTGTGTCTTCTGCAAGTGGAAAAAAAAAACAGTAGGGTAGAAGTCGCAGAGAGATCGATTTCAGCTCAGATAACTCTGGAGCAGGATGCTGGACTTGCCAACGTCATGCTCGGGTGATGGTGACCAATTCAGTCACTAGCAACACTGAGGCAGCGACTCGTCCACCCCACACCTCCATGGTGCCTCCTATTCCTAGGCATCTCCCACCCCACCCCACGGCTTCTAGGGTCTCTCAAGTAGAACAAGTTGAAAGGGCTCGACTCTTACTCAGCTCCCAGGTCTCAGGGTGTGAGCTATATAAATCAGGGAATGTACAGATACAGGTTCATGCTCCCAGTTCAGCTCAGTAGGCTCACATATGGTTCTGGATTTTGGAGTCATCTCCACCTTGTGCTTTTGGTTCGTCTTTGCATCCCCGCCTGAAGACACAGCTGTTTCCCACACATGTGGAAGGAAAAACCCTTGCTCACTGGCAGCAGGAGGAAGGAGAGCCCAGGGTGTTGTCCAGGCAGTGCAGTTCGTGGCCGGCATGGCTTGTGTTTGTTAGGCCATTATTGGTTTGGTGTTCACTTACCCAGGAGCCACAGCTACAGTTTGAGGTGGGGCCTAGTGCACACCTCACAGTCACAGTGGTCCAGTCACCTCCTCAAGGTCGTGAGTGTCTGAGTTGCACTTGGAACCCAGCCTCTTCCTGTCCGCATGACCACCATGCCGTCAAATACGTTCATTCTCCTTTCTTCATTGTGACCTCTTCTCCCTGCACCATGACGGCTTTTCTCCAAGCCTTAGCAACAGGAGATGTTTAACCTTCATTTGGTATCAGTGTCATAGATCAAAGCATTTTTATTTATTTCTGTGTGCTTGGTGAAGTGGCCAAATGCTGCACGTAGCATTTCTATCACCAGCTGTCCTCAGCTGCCTCGGTCACTGTTTGGAGGGTTGTTTCACGCAAACCCACGGCTTCTTTTCCTGTGGACTTGCAGAAGGATCACCCGCACGTCAGAGCCTTGCTCATCCTCCGCTGACTCCTCGTTGGTGGTTCTCAGTGGCAGGTAGGGTGTTCCCGTGTGAGAACA